GGCGACCAGGGCCGCGGCGGTGGCCTCTAAAGGAGAGCTCGGCTGGAGAGCAGATGGGTTCCTTACGGGTGCCCCTGAAAACTGCTCGTTAAAAAGCGCGGTAACGGCTGCGTTTCCACCTTGTTCTCTCCCAGGTCACCTCTGGCTGTTCCGGGACGCGGGGACAAACGATGGACTCCTTGTCAACCAGCAGGAGCTGTTTATCGCGGCTCCCAACGTGAACAAAGCAGACATCACGCTGCCAGGTAAAGAGAACAGGACTGCGCATGTCGTGGAAACTGATGAGTTTTGTACTTGATCTCTTTGCACTTCAATGTAAGGACCTAGCGAGAAATCAGGTACTCAAATAATAAAATCTAGCTGTAAAGTAGGAAGAGATCGTGAGGGTTTCTAGATAGAGCTGTGTCACCGCACTGTACTGGTTAGAGCTATTGACAGACCTCTCATAGATGTCTCTGATGGGTTTTGTAGCGTGCCTCACGACAGGAAACAACAAGTTCTCTTCCTCTCTTTCGCGTGAATTTAGTGTGTTGTGAATAACGCTGCTACATGTTATGTTCCGTATCCGCGTACTTGGAGAAGAACTGTCTGTGTTTGAGGCAGCAGCTCATGAGAGCCCTTCTGACGAGGTCATGTGTGTGTGTGTTTGTTTTTAACCTCAGTGTTCACCCTGAAAGAGAGATGTCTCCAGGTTGTTCGCAGTCTGGTCAAACCGATGGACTACAGGAAACTGGATATTGTTCGATCGCTATACGAAGAGCTGGAAGATCATCCTGATATTAGGAAGGATCTTCAGCGGCTTTCTCTGGAGAGAAGTGAAACGCTGAGGAACGGAATTCTGGAATAACGCGATTACTCGCTCCAGACTCTTTAAATAGCAAACCACTGAGTTGAAGCAGGGATAGTCACCGCGAAACGTGCCGAGAACTAATGTCTGTATTTTAAGTTCTGAAACACCAACTCAGTTAAATTGATGATGTCAAGTCAGATCCAAAAGACTAAACAGCACGTAGAAGCACACCGGGTTCCTGGTGGTTCAGTTCTGTTCTCCGTGACGTGTATTGCAAACCGATGTCTCTAGAGGCCTTGTGTGGGTGAAGCTCAGCAGTTTTGTTTGGACTGTCTCAGAACACTGCACAGGGACATAAGATCAGGGCATCTGTTTGGAGAATACGCGTACAGATTAACTTTCGTTGTATTAGAAAGTAAATTGCAGCAAGGATTCATTTAATCCAGACTCTAATGATTGTAAGTGGCAGACCAACACCAGTTTTGCTTGAATAATTTGTTGTCGATGGAATTCCACTCTCTCACACTTAGCCTAGATTTGCCCGTGAATCGCAAAGCATGTGGGTGTGTGCGTGTATGTGAGGGTTTCCATCACTACCTTTGGAGGACCTGGCCTGAAGCATTATGTTGGTGGAAAGATGACGTGTAAATGCTTGGGATTTTTTCTGCCTCTTACCTTTGCGTTCATAAACCCATGTCATACCCGCTCTGAGGCTGACACATTTTTACACAGATCATACCTTGAATGCCTTATTTGTCCTTCATGATTGGATTCTTGCCTAGTTGATCTCAAGGTGATCCAACCTAGTCAGCCATATAGACTGGATCCTAGTTTTGGGACACCTTTCTCCTCCACAGCTGCTTCCCCAGCTTCCTGTACAGGCATATCGGGTAGCGTTCGTAGAAGGTAGATGCTTTGAGTCCTACCTTTTCCCATCGCAATGCAGTAGTTCGGGTCGTAGTGGGGGGCCTTTTCAGGGAGTGTGGACCAGTGAAGTTGCTGTCTCGTCAGGAGCAGACAGCAGACTGTATCAGCTCCTACGGGCCTATTGCTAGATCCAGCTCACAAACAGACCCATGCTTTATTACA